AGAGGCGGGGGGGGGGGATACTAGGAAAAAATGAGGAAGGGGAAATGTTGGTTAAAAGGTAAAACACTTTGGGGGCAGCAGTTGGCATGGTGGTTGAGGTGCTGAATCTCACATGGCCAACTCTGTGGTTTGAGTCCTGGACCTAGATTCTTGAGAGACATATTGGGCACATGTGTGTGTATGCCCAGGGTCCTGAGAAGGGAATGGCAGAGGGAGTGTGGCATAGCTTTCTCTCCTGGGTGTGGTTTCTTGCTTTCCCTCTGTCTCTGCATCTGTCTTTCTCTGGAAATCATAAGTGTCCAAAGGCAAAAATCTGAAAAATAAAAGGAAAAGGCACAAAGTTTCTCTTGGAATGAAGGAATACATGTTAGTGATCTATTTCATCACATGGTGACCATAGATAATAATAAGGCTAAGCAAAGCAAGACAGACTATGAAAGAGAGACACTGTATGTTCCCATTCAATATATTCCAAATGTCTGCACTCTATGGCAGAAACTGAAAGACTGGAAGGTACAGAAGCATGGAGAGCAATGGTAATTCTAGAGACAGTTTGGGAGGTAGGTGAGAAATGGTGGAGGGTGAAAGGGAGAGAATCAAGGGAAAAGAAAGTAAAACATTTAAGGGACCGCAAATGGAAGAAAATGTGATTATACTGTGTATTTTAGTATCTTTGACTGAACCAATATACAGTGTATGCATGATGGGAAAATTAATTTGAAGTACTGTAAAGATACACAATGACAGATTGTTAAAAAATGGTATTAAAAATGTGTTTCATATTTGAAAAATATTTGTCATGTATAAATAAGGACTTAGTGGTTATGAAACCTGACTGCTAAGAGAGTGTGTCTACTTGCCAGAGAGGTACAAAGAGACAGAAAAATGCGAAAATCCACCCCACCAGCCACGTGGAGAAATATCATGCCACAATCTCTTCTCCTCCATTTCTCCCTCCCCTTAGGACATGGGGCACACATGCCTAGCATGTTCTTTTAACTACCCAGTCCAGGAATTGAACTGTGCATTTGGCCATGTGGGATCCAGTCACCTTAACCACCACACCACAAGCTAGGTCAACCCAACTGGGTCTTTATACAGTAATCTACCCCTGGCCACCACAACCAGACTCATGGGCATGTATGCATACCAGTTGTGTGCACTGAAAAGGAAAAAGCAAACTGGTATGGATCCTTGTATACCACAACATACTAACCCTCCTGATTACCTTGGAGTCTCCAGTGGCTTCCATGTCTCTTTAGCCCCGAAGTTTAGGACATTTACAATGGATGTTATGCCTGTTTTCCCTCCCTTTGCAAATTTCTATGTCTCTCCTCACCTCATCCCCACTTTTTTTTTTGGTTATATATCACTGCTTCCTAGAAGTGTCCCCAACAGCTTCCAATAAATATGAGAACCAGGTTGAAAACCCTATGACTAGGAGGACCAACCAGAGGTATAGTGGTTAAGGTGTTGGACTCCCACATGGCTGGCCATGGTTTGAGTTCCAGACCTGGCAGCTTGAAAAAAGACACCAGGCATGTGCACACATGGCAAAAATCATAAGAGAAGAATGGAGGAGAAGGGATTGCCGTGTGACCAATCCTCTTGGGGAAGGGGGTGATTTCTCATTTTTTCTCTCTCTGTCTCTCTCTGGTGATTGCATTCACCCTATCACAAAAACAAAATAAATAAATAACAAAATAGGGAACAGCAGGTAACATAGAGGTATAGCACTGGGCTCCCTCATGGCCAACCACAGTTTGAGTCCTGGAACTGATAGCTTGAAACTTGTGCTGGATTCATGAACATCTGTGCCCAAAATCCTGTGAGGAGACTGCAGAGAGAAGGGATTGTGGTATGGCCATCTTCCTAGAGGGTGATTTCTCACTTTTTGTCTCTATGTTTCTCTCTGACATGCTCATGTGTACTATAGCAACAATCTCTCAAAAAAAAAAAAAAAGAAAGAAAAAAAGAAAAAGAAAAGAACAATTAAAAAATAAACAAGGCTATGGTTGAGATGATAAACGACTTTATTCTGGCTTTAGATGGGGATAATATTGAGTAGATTCTAGATGTGGTTCTTGAGTAATTGACTGACAAGGAGTTGGAAAAGGAATGCATAGCTGACCAAGGAGCAAGAGAAAAGGAAACTATAGAAGAAAAAAGTACTGGACCCGGCTGGCGGCTTCCTTTCTCTCTCTCTCTCTGTCCCTCTCTGGTCTAATTAAAAATAAATAAAGAGGGGTAATTGTCGTAGAAGAGGGAGGCAGAGAAACCTCAGGTCAGCCAAGGGACCCTGGTATTCCAGCTGAAAAAGGATGGAATATTGGAATACTAAACAGCCATAAAAAACCATGAGACATTAGCATTTGACAGAAAGTGGACAAATATGGAAGGTTTAAAGCTAAACAAAGCAAGCCAGACTATGAAAGAGAGATATTCTATGTCCATGCTTAATATATACCCAATGTCTGCACTCTATGGAAGAAACTAAAAGATTGAAAATACAAAAGCATGGAGAACAATTGTGGATACTAGAGACAGTGTGAGAGGAGGGTGAGAAAAGGTGGAGGATGAGAAGGAGGAAATCAAGAGGAAAGAGAAGGAAGCAAAACTTTTAAGGAACATAAAAGCAGAAATTTATCTGTTGATAACAAGTATGGTAGTATCTTTGATTGGGCTAATATACAATGTATTAATTATGGGTAAATTCATTTGGCATGCTCTAATGATATACAGTGACTTATTATAAAAAATAAATTTTTATAAAAAGAAGAAAATTGAGAACATGATTATCATGCTCTGATTAAACAATCATGGTATCTGGCTTTGAGGCTTATGGTCCTGCAACCACTGGCACTCCTTGAAAAATAGTCCTTATAGCTTCTCTCCAAAATATCTTTTCAAAGTCCTCTTCATGTCTTTATTCCTCAGATGGTAGA